CCCGCCCCCCTCCGCGCTGACCTAATAAGGCCGCGCAGGGTGTGGGGACCTGGATAAAAGGCGCGCTCGCGGGGACCCTGCGCAGAGAGCGAGCAGCAGACACCCTGGAAGAGCAGGACCATGGCCAAGGAGTGGGGCTACGCGAGCCACAACGGTGAGGCCCCGACCGACCGCCCGGGCGCCCTGCCGCGCTCACCGCCGGCAGCTCCGGAAAGCGGGCAGAGGGGCGGGCGATGGGGGCACTGCCGGTGCCAGAGCCTCTGGCCTCTTCCTGCACCTCGGTGGCTCTCCTCGGTGTCACTGCCTCCACGGGGAAGGCTCAGAGAGGCTGGGTGACGGGCCCAAGGCCACACTGCGTCTGAGTAGCCGGACCGCGGGAGTCCAGTTCTGAGTGCCCCTAACTCCCTGGCACTGGCAGCACTCACCTCCCCAGCCTGGCGCAGGGCCGGGCGGGCTCTGGGACCTCCTGGGGCCGGCGTTCCTCTTCCAGCTGGACGGCAGGAGATGGCTCCGTTTAGGGGCGATGGGGACACTGAGGAAAGCAGCCGCCGAGGCTGCATCCTGAGCAGGCGCAGGGAAGGCGCGAGTTACATAGTCAGCAGGTGCCCCAGGAGCGCGCGGGCCTCGCCTGCGCCCTGGATCGCCCCGTGGGACGCCCAGGCCCTCCCACAGCCCCTGCTGGCTTAGTCTCCCAGAGAGGGGGTTTGCTTTGTGCCGCCAAGTTAATAAATCCCCTCGCCTTGCTTTCCCAGGTCCCGACCACTGGCATGAGCTCTACCCGATCGCCAAGGGAGACAACCAGTCGCCCATCGAGCTGCACACCAAGGACATCAAGTACGACTCGTCCCTGCAGCCCTGGTCCGCCTCCTACGACCCGGGCTCTTGCAAGAGCATCCTGAACAACGGGAAGACCTGCAGGGTCGTGTTTGATGACACCTACGATCGCTCGAGTAAGTGGGACCCTCGGGTAGGGCACCCGTGGGGGTTTCCACGCAGTGTTGGCAAAATGCAACTTAGGACTCAGGCGCAGACTTAGTGGGGAGGGGACACTGCAGCTCTGAGGGTGGGGCTGACATCCGGCCTCGCCCCCGGCTGCGAGGACTGCAGGGCTGCCCGAGAGGAGCCTGCAGCTGGCCCCACCTGTGCCAGGGGCAGAAGCCGCAGCAGCC